ACTAATTATCTTTGAGAAATAAAACTGAAATTATGTATTTTTAGTTAAAAGGGCAGGTTTTTAAAATATTTATTTATTTATTTATTTATTTATTTGAGTGGTTGGTCATGGGAATTGAACTCTGAGCCTGGGTGCTGTCCCTCAGCTCTTTAGCTCAAGGTGAGCGCTCTGCCACTTGAGCCACAGCACCACTTCTGCTTTTCTGGTGGTTTACTGGAGATAAGAGTCTCACAAACTTTCCTGCCCAGGCTGGCTTTGAACTGCGATCCTCAGATCTCAGCCTCCTGAGTAAGCCATCAGCACCTGGCTAATATATATTTTTTATTGTAAAGATCCTGTACAGAGGGGTTACAGTTACATAAGTAAGGTAATGAGTACATTTCCTATCAAGCATTGTTACCCCTCCTTTGTCTTTCCCCTGCCATCCCTTTCCTCCTAGGACAGAAGTTTTAAAGACAATGGATTACTAGGGATCAGAATAGTCAAGAATCTTGATAAGACGGTGGGAATAGAAATAGAGATAGAGAGCTGTCTTTCAGAAGTGAAAATAGGCCAGGTATAAGAAATAATACCACAAGCCATGGTGACTTGGAAGGCTGAGGCAGAAGGATTATCATAGGAGGACTACATAGAGTGTTCCAAAGTGGGCTGTGCTACATACCAAAACCCTACCTAAAAAATACAAACACAAAGAAAAGACAGAGAAGAAAGAAGAAGGGGAGAAGAGAAGGAAGGAAAAGAGGGAGGGAATAAGAAGAGGGAAGGAGAGAGGGAGTATTATGGGTGCTGTGATAATACAAGCTAGAACAAAATGCCCACTGAGAATCTGATGGTCAGAGAATGAGGGCTGGTGCAACCATTTTATTTCCACCTGTTTTAGGGAGAACTATAAAAACAAGAATCTGATTACTATCTGCATGGAATCACAGCTGGTTTTTTTTTTTTTACTTCCTTTGTCTGATGTTTTCCCTAATCTCACAGAAGACTTTTGTCAGGAGAAAAGATATTTCCTCAGATAGATGATGAATCAGAGAGTTTGCAATAATAAAATAGATTAGAAAATTGAAGAGAAAAAGTACAATTATCAGAAGGAAAATAATTTTTATATATTAGGATGGTGGTTTATTAATATTTGAACCTGAATTCCACATCTGTAAAACTGGAATGCAGTACAAGATGATCACAAAGTTAACTTTCAGATAAAGAATTCTGTGAGTCCATTATGTATGTATGTAATTATGTCTGTGTTTTTATTTCTCTTCTAGCTTGACTCTGAGTGTCACTCCATTAGCCATGAGATTGCCTATCCACTGTGTTTGTGTGACCAAAGAATACAGCCATATTCTTGTAGGTTTAGAAGATGGAAAATTGATTGTAGTGGGTGTTGGCAAGCCAGCTGAGGTAAAACCTAGTATTCTAGATGTCATTTCCAGTACTATTGGGGATTCCCTTAGTTCTCCATTTCATTTATCTCAGAGGTCTCCATTATGGATGAACAAGTTAAAAAGCAAATTTAACTTTTCAACAGGCAGTAAATGAAAACAGAGGATAAAGTTGTTTTTATTAGGATATAATTGAAGGCATACATTTGGAAGTTTTTGTATACCACTTGGTATGAATGAGAAAATACTTGTATTCCCTATCTACATTGAAGATCAATAAATAGAATTTTTGTATATAAAAGCCTTTATAAATAGAATATTTGTATAAAAAGTCTTTATAAAATAAGAAATATAGGTTCAAACAATAAAAGTACTTAACTTGTTTTATCAACTATGTAGCATTACTATATGTATTTCTATAAAAAAACATTTTTATTTAGAACTATAGATACCTCCATATCAAAGAACCACTTCTTAGTGAGTTTACTATAACTGTAAATTTATTTATGATTGATTCATCAATTACTGAATATCCAGATGTCATAAATCTAATTCTTGTTCCTGAGAAACTTACTGACTAAATTTCAAGAAACTTAGTGGTTCTCTCGAGATTTATTACACAGACTTAAATTAATCATTATAAATTTTTTGGAATTACATTGGCTTTTTCTGAGAAATCTCACTTTGGCATCTGTTCTTGAAGAGCAGAAATTACTATCACATTGTGAGTGGTTATAGAACAGAAAGACTCTGAATATTTTTTGTTTTATAAAAATTTAAAATTTTTATTACATAAGATTTTTAAGTTGTTTTACTTTTATTATTGTTGTTAAACAGTACTGGTGATTGAACCCAGAGCCTTGAGCCTGATAGGCAAGTGCTTTACCACTTGAGCCACACACCCCAGCCCTTTGCTTTTAGTTTGTTTGTTTTCAGATAGAGTTGTAAAATAATTATGCTCAGTCTATCTCTGAAACAAGATCCTCCTGTTTCTGCCTCCTGAATAGCTGGGACCATAGGCTTGTTTTGTGATAGTATCTGGCTAACTTTTGCCCAGGTACCTTGATCCACAATCCTCTTGTCTCCACTTTCTGGAATTACAGGTAGATATACACTATTACACCTAGACTTTTATATCATTTTTTTCAGGATATTTTTTAATTAAAATGACTGCAACATTTAGTTTCAGATGTGACCCTCCTAAGTTATGTGAGGAACTCTGTATTTCAGTATTTCAATTATATTTAAAATATTTTAGCCAGTCACTGGTGGCTCATAACATTAATCCTAGCTACTCAGGAGGCTGAGTTCTGAGGATTGCAGTTCAAAGTCAGCCCAAGCAGGAAGTCCACAAGACTTTTATCTCCAATTAACCACACACACACTCAGGTAGGTAGGTAGATAGCTAGATAGCTAGGTAGGTAGGTAGATATAGATAGATAGATAGATAGATAGATAGATAGATAGATAGATAGATAGATACCAGGTTTCTACTTAATACTGATAATATATTTTCTTTTCTTTTCTTTTTTTTTTGTCAGTCCTGGAAATTGAACTCAGGGCCTGGGCATTGAGCTTCTTTTGCTCAAGCTAGTACTCTACCACTTGAATCACAGCACCACTTCAGGCTTATTCTGTTCATGTGGTACTGAGGAGTCAAACCCAGGGCTTCATGCATGCTAGGCAAGCATTCTACCACTAAGCCACATCCCCAGCCCCCTCTTAATACATTTTCTGAATCATGCTCAATTGAGTGCCATTCCAATCATGCTCACAATTTGAGTTCCATTGGATTGAACTTGTAATCCTAGCTAGTGAAAAAGCTAAGGCACAGCTCCTAGACCCTGAATTCAAGCCCCAGTACCAGAACACATAAAAAAGATCTTATATTACTTTCTTTTCATTAGTGAGTATTTTATTCCTCCTTATTATTAGGTGTAACATGATTAGTACTACAGAACCAGATAAGAAAGTCTTTAAAACTAAGTATTGTTTGAGAAGCTTATTTTAATGATATGCATTTTTGTTAGTCAGCTAGCTTTGACATCACTGGAGTACTTCATTTTTAAATTTACAAATTGACATTAGATCTTCCTCAACTAAAAGATAAAAATCAAGACTTTATTAATCAAGAATCTTCAAAACATTAATGATTATGTTAAATTTATTCTGCATTCTATAAAATCAGTATCTTATAGATTGATCTTACATACCCTTTCATTTCTTAACATCTTTTCTCTGTGTTAAACAGATGCGTTCGGGTCAGCTTTCTCGAAAATTGTGGGGATCTAGTAAGCGACTCAGCCAGATTTCAGCTGGAGAAACAGAATATAATACTCAAGATTCCAAGTGATTACTTTTCTATCCTCCCACGATGAATAACTGAATCTTGATTTACTGCTTTGTAATCCTAACCACATCTCTCCACTGTCCAAAGGCCTTAAGTCTTTTATCCCTAAAAAAGTAATTTAGAGATTACTATAATTTGGTACATTAGGTTGTTTTATTACCAACATTCAAAATTTGTGGTTAACATGGAATTGAGGCTTATTAACTAACTCTTGGTCTATATACTAAATTAGATTTGAGAAAATATTTGATTTAGCTCAGTGACTCATTACTAAAGATCATTAAATACATTTTTTAAACTTCCAAAATTAAGAAATCATGTTCAATTCATTAATTTTGAATAGAAAAATGAAAGGTATCTTTATTAAAAGTGTAGATAATAGGACCGTTGAGAAATGTGGCTTTTCATTCCTTCTTTAATCATTTTCCTATTTACTACTACATAAGTAATATCAGTTCACTTAAGAACCTTCTGATAGAAGTAAATAAATTTTAAGGTACTGCTGCGCACTCAGATTTTCAAAAGTTCCAATTTATGTACTAAGATTATAATCACAGTATTGAAACTGGCAGTTGGTTCATCCCACTACTATTTAACATACTAGTAATGAAAATTTATTGAGTTGTATTATTCTTTTTAAATAATAAAAATTGGGTAGGAGAAAGGTAAACTAGAGATGTATTTCACAGATACAATTCCTTAATAGTATATTTAAGCAAGAATGCTGACTGTGACTTTGAAGATTTGTCTTTTAAAAGTAGCATATGTTGTACAATTTACATTGAAATTTTCAAATTATCTTGACTTTTTTTCTAATAAGTATATACTATGTTTTGCTCTGATAATTAGAAGAATTAGTAATAATATTCAGATGTACTACTTTCATATGTTGAATGCATTTTCAGGAAAGAATGATTTCAGAGTTTCCTTAGTCTGTGAACAATGATAACAAAAGACTTCTCAAGTTTTTGTTTGTATTTGGTTTTTTTGTGCATGTGAGTGTGCTGGTACTGGGGCTTGATCTCAAGGCCTAATGCTCTTGCTTGGATTTTTACTCAAGACTGGCACTCTACTTGATCCACTTGATCTACTTGATCCATTTCTGGCCTTTTGCTGGCTAATTGGTGATAAGAGTCTAAAAGACTTTTCTGCCCATACTGGCTTCAGACCACAATTCTTAGACTCTTCTTCCTGAGTAGTTAGGATTACAAAACACTAGCTCTTAAAATAACAATATTCTATTTTATTCTACAAAGCATGGATTTCCTTATACCCAATTGTCTTCTCAATTAAATCTTGGAGAAGATATATTCTCTTTACATTCCTTTCTCTAGTGGACTTCACAAAATTAGTCAAAAATTTTCAAGAAATAAAGTATTCTATGTAGGGAAACTTTTTAATAGTTTGATTTGTTTTGAGTCAGGAGTAGTAATCATTTTATTTATAATAAATTAAAATCCTCTTATTTAGGAAAAAATAGCTATGCATTAGTCATATTACACTGAAATCAACTGGTACAAAAATAAAACATGTAAATGTGAAGGTTTTTTCTGGATACCTTTGGAATTCCTAACTTTTATATTCTGTTAAAATAAGCAAATATAACTATTAGCTGAGTAATAATTTGCTCATTTCAACATTATAAGTCCACTGAATTAAAATCACTATATACATTTTCACTGATTGTGGTGTATTTAGATGTTATCTATAGAAATGATTTCTTTGTTGTACAGTGGCAGAAATTAAAGTGTCTTTAAAGTGGAATAACAGCCAGACATTTTAGTTGAAGAATGTCAGATTTCAGCTTGGGAGTCTTTTTTTCTTCCAGAACTGTACATCTGGGGATAGTTGAAATAAAAATCTGAGCATCTTTATGATGGGGGAAAATTTATACTAAGACAATGATTTTACTTTGGGAAGATAAGATAAAGTAGTAAGATATAATAACTATGAGCACTGAAGAGAATAAAATAACTTTATAAAATGTTTGATGACCCTCCTCAATCAGTATTTTGTAGCCATTTAGATAAAATTGGAGGAGAAAAGGGGGAAAATATATGGTGACATGAAAATCAGGAAATTTTAAAAATGAAAGGTGGCCTGTTTGTAAAGTATTTCACCCTGAGAACTCATGTTAGCTATGAAGGAAGTTTCAATTTATTCCTTTTAATAACAATATATCCTTTTGTAAATGAAAATTCCAAGTATTCATTTTGTCTTAAGCAAGGAACATAAGTAGGGTTTACTTTATTCTCTATATTTAGGACATATCAAAATTGTTCTTCAAAAATCAATTATGATTAGCTGAGTGCTGGTGGTTCATGCCTGCAATCCTAGCAACTCAGGAGGCTGAGATCTGAAGATTACAGTTCAAAGCCAGCCAAGAAAAGCCCATGAGACACTTATCTCCAATAAACTACTCAGAAAAAGCTGGAAGTGGAGCTGTGGTTCAAATGGTAGAGCACTAGCCTTGAGCACAAAAAGGCTCAGGGACAGCATCCATGCCCTGAGTTCACACCCCAAGACCAACTAATAATAATAATGATAATACTAATAATGAATGTTTTCTGCTCTGAAAGGAATCAGTGTGTCTTCAGAATTAAAATTTAAAGACTAAATCTTAACTTATAACTTTTACATTTTAATTGAATAAGAATACACAAGAATATGACCTTGGATATAATTTTTTTATTTAATGAAGATAGAGACATAGCATTTGCCTTTCAGTGTATTTTAGATGGTTTTTACTAAAGAAATCACTAGAGAAAGCTTTCAAAAGAAATTTAAAAGGTTATCTCCTTTTATATATTTATAACATAAGTAGCATTTGTCTATACTACCAATCCCTTTTGAGACAAGTTGCTGGAATGTAGTTAGATATAAATATACTATGAAATGTTCGTTATATGTGTGTATGTGTGTGTTGGTCTCATCAAACAAATCTACCTTCCATGAATACATTTTTAAACTTGTCTTTGGAATACAGTTTTTGAGTAGGATATGAAGAAAGAAATATATTACTCTCTAAATCTAATCTGTTTTTCTTCTATTTGCCAGTCTAAATTTGTCCTAAGTGTTCCTCACAGAATTAGAAACTATTTTTCCCTTAAAGTGAGCAATCTTAAACATTTTACCACTCTTAACAAATATCCATTCTCAATATTATTTTTACCATTCATGTTTATCATATTTGCTCAGCATTTGATTTTTTTTCAACTATCTCTGCCTAGGTCTTTTTTTCTGTAGTTTCCTGCACTTATTAGTTGTAGTATTTTTCATCATGGCATTAGTCAACAATATAGTGTCAGTAGTGTTCATTTCATTAATATTTACAATGTGAGCCATACCCTTGCTTCTTTAAATTAAATGTATTTTGGAAGCAGTGGCTTTTATTTTTTCAGTGTTAGGTATTGAATCCTGGGCCTTAAAGCTCTCTAATGAGCTGAATCCGAAACACAGACATTGGTTCTTAATTTGACACTGCAGATTAGTCAATGAAATTTAATAAATTGCTAATGTCTGGACACCAGTTTGTATTTTCTAAATCTTTGAATTGATGTTAGTATTAAAATTATGGTTTGGATTATGACATGTTTTCAAATATTTTCCACTATATAATAATGGCTATTCATTTTTATAAATCAGGCCCATGATTTACAAATTATTTACAAGCTTACTTAATCATTATCCTGAGAGATATTTTAATTTAAAAATAGCTTGTTATGTCAAGCAGTTTTTGATGTTGCTTTGCATGTGCAGAACAATCACATTTCATTATTGAAAACTGAATTGACATGAACACTTCAGACCTTCCATATTTGGAAGTTATAATTAATATTTTCCTCCACATATCTGTCAATATTTAAATAACTGAATTTTTTAAACACTTGAATTAGGTAACATTTTAATGAAAGAATTAAAAATAAGTAACAAGTGCTATACTGTTTTAAAATGCCTTGGCATTTGTAGTCAGTAGAATTCTCCTAATACATAGTATTACATAAATACAGTTCTCCATATATATTTCTCTTAAAGCATTGAATATATTCTTTCAGTACTTATGTTCCAGATGTTGGAGAGAACAGGGCAGTAACATGTAAAGGATTTAGGCATGAGCCCAGTGTTAGAGTGCATGTTTTAGGCCCTAGGTTTGATTGCCAGAACCACAAAACAAAAGTATGTTTCATATATTAGAAACAAATTCTTCTTGCTAAAAACATAGTAGAACATAGTAGTTATGTGATTTTTTTAGTGGAATAAATTTGGGTAAAAGCAATATTATCAGGTTCTTTTCTAATAAATTGTAGTGAGTCATTAGTTTATTATCTCAGTGACACTTGTCACATGAGAGTGGTTTCTAAATACTTTGTATGATTTGGGCCTAGGAAGCTAGTAGTTTAGTGACAAGTGAAAGGACACAAATTCAGTGACATTTCACTTCATCTTAATGCTTATAACTTTATGAATTGAAAATTGAGATGGGAAAGTCACAAATTCAACATGCTTTTTTCCCATGATAGTTTTTCACATTTTCTTGGAAACATATTTTGAAAATAATACCATAGTAATAATAACATAATTTCATTATTTGAAAAATTACTTACCTGAACACAGTGGTACATGCCCGTAGTTCCCACTACTGAGGAAACTAAAACAGCAATATCACTTGAGACCCCAGAGGTTTGAGATAAACCTACACCTATAACAAAACCTTGTCTTAAAAAACAAAAAAATTCATATTTCAAAGTTGACTGTAAGTGATGAGGAGTGTGTGTTTCCACTTACATGATAGCTTTCTTTTTATTCAAATTTATTTCTAACTTTTTGAAAATACACATTCACTGATTTTAACTCTACTGCAAGTATAGAATTGTATACCTAAGAAAAGTTAGGATTTAAGTTTGATTGAAAATTTTTACTGATTAAAATATAAACTATTTAAAAAAGAAATCATATTTCAATTTGACCTTTTAGATTTTGATGTGGGTAATATAACTTAAGATGTATTAGAAGTTCTTTGGTAGTAAGTGTACTACTAACTGTCTAGTCAACTTTAACATGCTAGTTTTGATGTTCTTTTGGTAGCATTTCCCAAACTAAGCAATGTGTTTTATCATTTAGTATGCTCAGGCTACAAATTCATAAATGCTTCTCTTGTATTTTAAAGGAAAAGTCCCTTGTCTGTAATAAACATACTTTGCCCATCAGAATGTGATGGTCCTGAAAGAAACATCCATAGTCAGATTTAATTGAAAATAACTGCAGTCTCTTAATCCTTATATAGGGACTACAAAAAATAACTATCTTTGGAAAACTGCTTTTCTTGGGTTAAGTTTGAGTAAGCCTTTGTTTCTATATGCTTTCCAAACTTGTCATTTTAAAGTAGATTTTATTGTAAAAAGTCTTACATTTTAGACCTTTTTCTTCTTTTCTATTCAGGTTTTACTGCTATCAAAGACTAATTCACAAACTATCACCAAACATTTTTTGTGGTTATTGTTTATTTAGGTTATCTTTACCTAAGAAAATCATGTGATTGTCTTAATCTGTTCAGAAACTCCTAACAGATTTAAGGCTTTTCTTCCAACAATTTTATTTTATAGAGTTGGAGCAAAAAACTTCACAAAAAAGTAATTAGAAATAGCTGGCCTGCCATTTTCTGTCACTTAAATTGCAAAAAAAAAGAATCCATCAGACATAAAAATAAGATATGTATTTGATCTCTTTTGCCAGTTTTTCTTAGACCTTGATTAAGTGAAAGCATTTCAGTGTTCGTAGAGAGCAATGAAGTATTAAATGCATGTGTGTGCACATAGTTCAGAGGGGTTATATGAAACTTCAGAATAATTTGTTTTTAAAAAGTGCTTGGAAAGTGTGCTGCTACTTATTTAAGGATTTTGAAAGGTTCTGTAATTATCTTAAAGTGTATCTTCTCATTTACTGGAATTGACCATAAAAAAGAATATTAATCCTTATTTATATCTAATTATTGACTGTGCAAACTGTGACTCATTAGATATTTGAATGCCAAAAAAAATGGGCAGGGGTTAAAGTTGAGTAGGTTATAGACTTATCGAAGAGGTGTAAATAAGTTTGTGGTATTCTTATAACAAAGTTATTATTTGGTGCAATTCTTTCCTCATCCTTCTGAACTTAAATAT